CCCACCCCGCAACGGACACCAGATTGTTCAACCCTGCTTGCACACAATACCACCAAACACAAACTGTATTTTTCAGAGAAAAGAATTGTAAATTGCAGGGTTTTACTTTTATTCTTTGATGAGAGCTAGAAACTCGGTTGCCTGTTTTAGTCATTGGTGATTTTTTTTTATTTTTTTATTTTTGCGGATAGTGTGTGATGTTTAAAACCGTTGGATTTTGATTCAATGGTAAATCCATCTTTTTCTTATCTTTCTCTCACCATCACAGCTTGCCTCCGCCACACACGGCCTCTGCCCTCATTTGTTTTTAGAAAAAGGAGGAATCTTCCCCGGCTTCTGCATCTGGGAGATGCATGCGGCCATATTATTTATTATTCACAAAGACCTTACAAAGAAATACAACAGTAATCCCGAGGCCACCATCTAAAAGACACCTGTCGCTACTCCTGTCCTCTTTATGAAGGTGTGCCGAATGTCCAGGCCAAATACCAAACAGACATCGCACAAAAGCCTAATATCTAACGCTAGATGCCCCATCCAAAGCCACATAGGCGGGACTGGGTAACACTCGGGTTCGGCGCACTCTCAGTGAGTACCACACGCACACGCTGCAAAGGGCCGTCACCTCCATCTTCCCTCGATCCATCCTCAAAGTATGTACTGACGTATCGACCTTGTCAGGCCTCTCTACCATCGACGCCACCACAGCCTCTGCCCTCATCATCCAGTCAAATTTTTCAGAAGCAAAAGCAAAGAAGAGTGACGATATAGAAAAAGCGTATGTGGCGACTTGATGTATGGTTTACAGTCTCATGGTTCGTCTCCGTGGTTTTTGTTGCCACCGTGGATTTGGTGGTGTCTGATGTTGTGTGTCGAGGTGTTCTCGATGGACGTAACTTTAGCGATGGCCTGATCCATGTGTCAGGGTTTTGCAGTTATAGCGTGTCGGGAGAGTTTGATGGTTTGCCTATGCGGGCTGGAGATTCCTACTTTGCGAGTAGTTCGCATGTGGTCAAATATTGGCCTGATCCATGTGCCAGGGGTTTGCAGTTGTAGCATGTTGGGAGAGTTTGGTGGTTTGCGTGTGCGGGCCGGAGATTCATACTTTGCGAGTAGTTCGCATGTGGTCAAATTTGCATTGTTTTTGCACCGTTTTTCATCAACTCTTACTCTTTTCTCTCAGTTAATCGATGAAGCAAATCTTTTGCCTCTGATTTGAAAACAAAGAGACACTGGTACCCGTGAACGCAATATTTTGCTATTGCTCCATTTTCTTGGTCATCACCTCCTCTCCCATGACCCTGAACTTCTCCTGCTAAATGGCAACCTTGCGCTCCTCAAGTTCCTTGAGCTCCATCCATCCAGGTGTCCTTTCTTGTTTCCTCCATTTCCTTCCTTATTGTGATCATCTTGTAGCATCTCCTTGTACAGAAATCATCTTCTCCTTTCTTGCATCCTCCCTGGAGACCTCATCTGCATTCGCGCCTCTGATCTTCGAGTGGAACTCCCCCTCCCCTCATCATTATCTTCATCGCCAACATATTGTACATCTTCAAACTTAGGAGATGAGAAATGACTCGACTCCCAGGATAAGATAACAAAGGGATCACATAATTAGGGCCTGCTCCAACATTACTCAGTCAAGGCGCACCTAGTCCCACCATACCATACCATACGAGCATACATATATATGCAGTACAAGCAACACGTCCTAACAAGTCTCAAAAAAGCTACCAAACCTATATTATCTGGGGGATACTACGGCCTACGCCATTGCCATGGGCATCATATTCACACCACCAAAACTCGATGCTTCCGGCATCCGATCTGATCAACCACGTCCATCGTCGCCTCCTCAATTCGATGTTCGTCGAGGGCAAAATGAAACCAAACCCACAGGAAGACCCGGAGGAAGCTGCCGCCTACGACCGGGCTCACAGCAGCACGTGCTCGACGTCGTTGGGGAACCGCTGAGGCTGGCCGCGGCGTGGCCAGCTGGGTGGAGACGGTGGACGGATCGACGCCGAATCTTGCTGCATGGTTCTCTTCTTGGGCTCTCCTGACGCCGCCGCTCTCTTCTTGCGCCCGCTCCATGACGGCACTGCTTGATTCAGATTTCTCCTGTTGGTGTGCATAGGTGCTGCTTCAAACACCTCGGGCTCGTCGTCGAGGTCGACGGGGTTCGAAGCTGAAGCCCCCATCTGAAGCAGCTCTCTGCGGGTAGGAGGTGCTGCCCAGCACAGTGGATTCACTGAAACAAAGAATAGCCACACATGCAGAATTATGTCAGGAAACAGCAATGGCATGGTTGGGAAAAGAATATGTATGCATCACATCGCCAAGTCAGTAAAAAACTAGAAAACATTATAGATGGTACGAAGACCAAGAATGATGAATGTAGAACATAATAAGTAGTGCAGCTCATGCACTCGTTCATTGATCCATGCTCATTTAACAATTTCCCTTGGAAGATGCATATTAGTAACACACATGTTTCCAAAAGGCATTTGTCATGGTTACCATTTCCACAATCATACTTGATTTGAAGCATGCACTATCTGGCAGCTTAGGGGATTGATAAGAAAATATTTCTGAAAATGTATAGCAGAAAGGGCTAACAGTACGGAAAATCTTAGACTGAATTCACACACCTTCAACTGGCTCAAGAATATCCGGTAATTCACGAGTTGTTGCTGAATATTTACGCTTCCTGACATAATCTTCTTGCAGAGGCTTTGGGATAGCAAACGAGAACTGGCCTAAATAAACCCCTTGTCGAACGTAGAATGGATTCTCTGCCAAGTACCTGAAATATCAAAACGATGATTGTATCGCATCTGGGAAGAACATGCCATAATTTGGCGTGCTAGATCAATTGGGTGCTGTAAGTAACAAACGGTAGGTAAAAGTAACAGAATATGAATTCATCAGCTCACCTCTCAATTTCAACCATTGACCTCAACGTTGTCCCAGCTGGAGAAGTGTAATATCTGAGAGAAAGCAAAATAACAAATATTGTTATGATCAAGTATGTTGCATGTTGGAATACCACAAGCAAATAACTTTGGAGAACAGATTTCATGATTACTAGAGATTTAAATTGGCATCACCAAAACTGATAAAACATATAAATGGTTGCTCAACAGCACAGGGTTATCCTCCTTTTCAGGGAAACAATGGCTGTCAAACTGACATATTATAAGAGGCAAATGTTTTATGCTATCAAGAAGCATGAAGTATTTCTTAAAAAGAGGCATGGAGTACAGTACTGTGTAGTTTCATGAATCATAGCTAACAGGAATAAACCACAAAAGGGCATGCTAATACTTTACCAGTTGTAGCTAAAGCAAAGAGACTGATCAAGAACCAGATCAATCATTCCATGAATGATACGGTGCAAAAAGCTATTAAGTAGAGTGGAAGGACTAGTTTCTGAAAAAAATGCAGTGGAAGGACTGAACATGGAAATGACCAAAAGACTTGATAATAACAAATCACAGGTATTAGTGCAATGCAGGAAAAGGAACAGTGGCATACACATCTGCAAACTTGCTGCAACCCTCCCCCCTGATTCTGACCTCCCTATTCCAGCCAACAGGAGTTTGGGCAATGTTTGGCTTGTCAATTGCCCACACCCTACTTGCATCTTGTGACATATCTTCTGGGTCATCACATGATAAAACACGGTTCCATTCACGAGCCCTTGCACACACAAAAAGTTCCTCGGAAATAGTCTCACGCAGCTCTTCATATTTCTCCTTTGTTGGAACAATCCTCCATTTGAAGCACTGAGCGCACTGTACAGTATAGTGCCCAATAGATGGTAAAACTCTGGAGTGTCCACCATACTTTGTCTTCGGGGGTATTTGCTGCAGTGGAGAAGAGTCATATATGGGCTCGGCTAACTGGAATTCCCTTTGCTGGCGACGTGTGGTCTGCAGATCATAAAGGACAAGCTGCTTTGATGCGTCTTCTTCAATTGAGTAATCCTTGTCAGTATAATCATCATCATCATCACTGTCACTGGTAATAAGCCTCTTTCTTGAACGCTTGCGAGGATGAACCATCCCTTTCTCAGGGTTATGACCTCGAAAATTCCTCATGAGATAACTATCTTTTCCTGCAACAATGGCCAAAAGGTTCGATAAACAAAAAAGCATGGTTTGAGTACAGTTATCACACATTGTTCCAGGTAAAAAAAACATGCTGCACAATCAATTATCATATCGCAGTTGCAAGAAATCAGTACATTGCACGACTCCACTATTTACCACCGTAAAAAACAGAAGACAGAAACACGACCAATTCTATCATATTAAATAAACCTGTAAGGCTGTACTAACTACAACTATGCCTTTGGTAGGACTACGGTTACCTCGTAATCATCGCTGCACTCAATAAGCGAATTCGACAAAATTAGAATGACACCAAGACTATCTGTAAGATGCAGTTATGCAGTGGCATGCAAGATATTGCACATTTATATTGACGGAGAACACCACATTACACTAAAAAAATTCAGAGGCACAGTATCAGGCGAAGCAAATGTAGTACGAAAGTCGAAAACACAATGACTTCCCTGGATGCTCTTCATAGGTTACACAAAACATGTCATTAGCATCACACAACCTAACCGTTTGGACAGCTCGGTAATCATGCTATCTTATGTGCAAATCAACCAAGTAAACAATGGTGCTGACATATCACAAATATATTTCTGCAGGAGGTGAGAAACCAAACTCACAGAAATAACGGCAGCAGTCAATTGATACCCCATCGTCCATATAAGGCAAATTACAAGCGTTAGATATTGACTAGCGAAGGCATGTGCACTGCATATTTATCAACAACTGCCCATACATCCAGGTTCCAAAGCACATAATCGCCCACACAGTGCTGTGAACAAGCAGAATCAGGGCAAATACTAAAGAGAAGAGGTTACACTAACAAGTGTTTTATTTAAGACCCAAGGTGCATTGGTAATAAAGTGCTGAAGTCCAACCAACCTAACATAAAGCCTTGCCTTTTCTGAATAAACTACAAGGTCGCCACCAATTTTGAGCACACCAAGTTTAATTATAGCAGCCAGAAAACAGTGCTGCCCCTAAATGGCTAACGTGGGCGACAAATGGCCAAAAATAAGCCACCACATGTCACCCAATCAGGCTCCCTGAATCACAAGCCATGCATCAGGTGGTCAGCCACACATGCTCGCATTCGCATACAACCAAACCAAACAAGACGGCCGCCGCATCATCAAGACCCTGCCTGATCGAGGACGAGGCCGCAGCAGTACAAGTTACAAGAATATACATCCGCTCTAAATCGTCACAGCAAATTAAAGAGCATCTCAAAATCGACGGGCCAGAGCGGGGACAAGATGGGACAAATTAATCAACAGGGAGGCAACGCAGCGAGGGCACCACCACCAAATGGACGGACCTACCACCGAATGTCGGAGAGGCAAATAATCCCAAATACTCCATCCGTTTCTAAATATAAGTCTTTTTAAAGATTTCAAATGGACTACCACATATAGATGTATATAGACATATTTTAAAGTATTCACTCATTTTGCTCCGTATGTAGTCACCTGTTGAAATCTCTAGAAAGACCTATATTATATATTATATTTAGGAACGGAGGAAGTAAGAAGCATGTTCCCAGACATTGACAGGGGCGGACACTGGCTAACATAAAACACCCACCCACCACGAACCCCACCGGGCGACACGGAAAAGGGCCGGGCTTTGGCTCCCGAAACTGGCTAAAAAGCGAATCGGCCGAAAGCACGACGGCGGTCCTCGCAGGAACCGCGGCGGCGAGCCGAGGCCGCCCCTGGACGGTCTCTTCGCCCGCGAGAGACCGAATGCATGTCGCCCTCCGGCCGCGTCGACCCCCTGCCGTGCCGACTACCACGCGCGATCACGGACGGACGGACGGAGGGAGGGAGGGAGGGAGGGAGGAGGCGCAGACGTACGCGGGGTCGGCGGGGGAATGCGGCGGGCCGGCGGCCGGGGAATCCGAGGCGGAGGGAGCGAGGAGGCGGCGGCCCGTGTGGGGCGGGAGGAGGTGGGTGCGCTTTCTGTTGTTGCGCTCCTCTCTCTCTCTCTCTCTCTCTCTCTCCGCTGCCACTCTGCATGCAGGGATGAAGGCAGCAACAGCAAGCGAACTCCCCTCTCCACGCGATGAAAAAGGCAGGTAGGTGGGCGAGGCCTCTTCAATGCGGAGTGTTCATCAATGCGCTACAGTGCGGCGGCCGTCAAGGAGGGCGCGTGCCGCCGTGTGGGTGAGCCGAAGGTGGGGAAACGTGCCGCATGGCCTGTGCCGCTGTGCGGTGCGCCGGGCGCCACTCACCCCACCCGCGCCCGTTATCTCGCCCACGACGGCACGATCTAGTCTATACTTCAGTTGGACTGTTGGGGTTTCTCGAGTCCAATATTAGTTGGTCTTTCTTTTTTGAGAATCAAAATTAGTTTGATCTAGTGTAGTACTACTAGTTGTTTGGAAGACGACCATAAAGGATTTTTTTTCTAAGTAAAGAAAGAAGAGCTGATCTAGAGGTTTTCCAGGATAACCAGTTTCGATCGACAGGGGGTTTTTGCTCGGACGAGTAGTTTTTCTTTTAAGGGCATTTACAATGAAGGGGCGCTTGTTTAGGCTCTTAGAACATTATATATATATATATATATATATATATATATATATATATATATACACACACACACACACACTAGCACATATGCCCGTGCATTGCAACGGAAGAAAAATTACTACAAAAGACAATTGGTTATGTCAGTGAAACATACCACATTTGTTTTGTTATTTGTCCATACCACATCGTCAACAGGGTTAGGCATGACCGAACATAAACATATTCAAATAAATAAGTGGCAAGTTATAAACATAACCTATAAACATGTAATCCGTAAAAATTCCTGAGCAACTCAAAATGTGAGAAAAGACTAATCCATCAACTATGAATATGTATGAAGCTGTCTATGACCTGGATATGCTAATTTAGATTCAGAATAGAACCCGCTTAAAAGACAGCGCTTTCAACTAAAAAAAGATTTATTCCCTTTTACCTTCATGCTTCAGAAACAATAAATTGCAAAGAATCACCTGCCATTTAGCTTGCAAACTTCAGCCAGCAAGGGTTTCGACCACGTCATTCTCATTTGGGCTCATTTGAATAAACGTCGAAGTTTTTGAGTCTCCATCTGTAGTGCCTTATGCATTATAGTTTGTCACACTTTGATAAAACTTCTATTGGACATCTTCTTTCCAAATTAGAAAAAAAAATGAAAACGTTCCACTTGAAAAACAAAATTTTAATAGGGCATTGATTAATTCTGAACCGGATTGTAAAAGATGCATAATTGGTAATGGGAATTACACACGAGATGTAGAATATATACCTGAATATGGGCTAGTTGGTAATAAGTAGCTGATCAATACGTTAATTCTTTTTATAGTGAACTAATGCACATAAAAGGAGGTTTAGTGCCTATCATTATGAAAAAGCCTCCTCTGAGTTCATTATATAAGAGAACATGCCGGCATGGGCCCCTACCTACAAACTGGAACTGGACACCAACTAAACTGTAATACATTTTTTTTTTTTTTTGCATTCAGTTGAGGTACTTGAGATGTGTTTTGGCTGTAATAAGCATCGCCGAAGCCTTTCTGAAGTTGGAATTCCGATAGTACTCATAAAGTAAGCCAATGATTACTCTATATCTGTACTCCCCATGCCGCTAAAAAAGTCGGCAAAAGTGAATGGAGGGTTGCAGCAGAAGAAGCAACTTAGGACGTCTCACAAAACAAAAGAAATCAATCGGAACCCGGAAATATATCCACCAATCGCAGGGGGCAAACACCTCTCTGATCTCATGATGCCAAATCCCGTCACCACACCCTGTCAAATAGTGGCGTCGAGAGCTTGCAATCCTCTTATTCTTATTCTTTTTACCATTGTATATTCTTATCTGAATCCACAATGCCATCCTCTAGAGTCCCCTTCAATGTCCGTGTTCCCTACTATTGCCTCTTCGATTCTGAATTCCTTCCTTATATCTTCTCTATCACCTCGTGCCCTTCCTAAATTAGGATTTTGATTTCCTTTCTTAATTCTTTTTTTTCTGTCCCCTCTTGTCCTTAGTAGCCCACCACACATATAGAATGTTAACTTGCATCGCTTTCTCCAGTTAATTAGCCTCCCTTTTCTTCCTCAATTTTCTGTCATGATCTTTGAGATGACTTGCTGATACCGAGAAAGCTCGAAGATGTATATAAATTAGGTATTTTGGATGTAAAAGAGCGATGTGGGACTATTAATGTACAGAACAATCAGTGTTACTACCTGAAGCTCGTTCTAGCTTGGTTGGCAAAGCCTTTGCGTGTTGGTCGGTCGGTCTTGAGTTCGACTCCACTTGGTAGGATTTTTTTTGTGCATTTTTGCGTTAAACATGATAGATGGGCTGGATTCATTGGGCCAAAGAGCTCGCCCTGGTTTGTTCGCTCGGCCTAGGTGGGCCGGATTAATGGGTCCACAGCGTACAGGGGTTTGCCTGAGACGAACAAAAACGAACCTGGCATGTATTCAACGGACGGACGGACGGAATAATAAACCGTACGAAAATTATTACGGACTAACGACGTACGATAATTAGGGAGGAAGAAGCAATAACAATTGCCCGTGCGTTGCAACGGGAGATACGCTATTAAAACCTTGTCATGACAGGGAAAACAGGCAAGGAAGAATTCATTATACATGACACAGAGTAACATACAACTCACCATCAGTTCTAGAAGATATATATAGATATAATCAGATTTTCACTCGAGCAGGAGCATGGACACACAAGTAAAAATACACCCTACTAATCCAAGTGATATTGCATCCACCCTTGTCCCAAGCATGCATACTTATAGACAACTTGAAATGTCAGATCTTTCAGAACTACGAATATATGATCGATTACTACAGAACAATAAACTGAACCAAGTAAAGTCAATTGTCTTTTGGTAAAAAAAAAATATGAGAACTACATAACTCATTGCATGTACACTTTCATGAGTAATAGTTCCTTCATAAGTCAATGAACCTGGTAATCGGCAGACAACTTACTAAATTTTTACACATCTTGATACAATAGAATGCAAGCACCTGATTCGTAAAATAAGGATGTAGAACCTCTAGAAGGGAGAGCAGGATACTCCAGTTGGCTGAATGTGGGAGGAATATAACATTTTGAAATGCACCTGAGTTCTTCGGGCATCGTTCATTTGATTCGTACTCACTTGAGGGTTCCAGCGTATGGCTTGAATTTTGGTTGCTCCAAACACTTGTAAAGAATCAACTACCCTGCACCATATATGAA